TCGAGCTTGTACGGGCCCATGTTGGGCGTTTTCACGGTTGGGATGCTAATGCCTTGGGTGGGCGAAAAGGTAAGAAGAGAGCTCCTTACTTAACTTCTTTCATAATTGGCTTTTGGCTTTTTTGCAGAGCACCTTTGTGGGAAGCATTTGTGCATTTTTAACCATGGCCTGGATAGCTGTCAACGCTCAGATCGCCAATGTCACAGGATCCTTCAGACACAAAAAACTACCTGTCTCCGTTGGGAATTGCGACTATGAGTTTGATATGAATCGATACCTCAACTCTACATCGGAACAGTAAGTCTTGACTATAGACGACAAGTTCTGTGTAACTATTTCGATTGCCTTTATTCAGGGAGCATCACAGTGGATCCTCTGTGTACCACGTTTCGTTCTTGTTATACGCCATGTTGGGTGCATCGCTCACAATTATCATCGCGAACCTGGCCACATTCGTATTCGGTCGTCAGGATGTCAAGGATGTAGATGAGGAACTTCTCGCTCCATTTGTTCAACGATATTTGCGAAAGAATAAATATTATGAGGGTGTGGAGCTGAAGAAGAGAACTAATAATTTATAATCAGCAGTACAAAATACCGACTACACAATAAGCTGGAGAAAACAACACTTATAAATTATGTAATTGCGGATGTGTACACTCGAACTAGCTTTAACTTTTCCGGGTATTTGGTTCTTAATATTATATTCAAAATTTGTTCGAAATTTGTTTGAATTTTTTGTTTTTATATTTCTGGATATGATTTGTAGATATAACAGATTTAAACATTTTGTAAACACTTTAACAACTCAAGTCACGATCCACGGATAAACATTTTCGCCATAGCCTAATGCAGATGTGACATTAGAGTTGGCTAGCTTTACCTTAAAGACAGATATAGTACCCCAGTACCCCAGATATGGTACCCATCTCCACGGTCACGTCTCCCAGCTATTAGTCGAAGTCTTCAATTGCAATTGACAATTGTCTTTTCGGCTACCCTTCGCCTACTCGGCTAGCTCTGAGTCGGTCCCCAGAATCCACTAACAAAATACATAGCATCGATTTTCGAAAACGAAAATTTCATTGGTCGAAATCTTATTGCTGAGCCGAAAGAGTCCTCGACCACTATATCGCCCGTACTCATGAAGTGCACCCCTCCACCGACACTCAAGGACAAGCCCTTGGACATGCATTGCGTCCTCGTCAACGTTTCCTTTGTACATGAACCCCGAAACATATAGCAGCTCCCCACTTAATCCTCTGGATTTTCGAGATATCTTCAGTCTGTTAGACATCACAAATAAAAATGGTGGCAAAAAGAGTGCCATTGGAGCAGTGCCCAAGACCAAGAACAGGAAAAAAGAGAATCAATACGAACCCTAGTAGTCCTGGAAAATTACTTCAAAGGAACCCAATCAGCCAGGCATAGCAGAATATAAAACGTAAAAATCTATCAAAACTATTTTTGACATTTTAGTAAAGAAAAATAAGTTGAAGGCACAGAACGTAAAGCGTCGAACTGTTTATCGACTTGGATACGGATTGCGAGCTCGGCATGGAACACCTCGAGCGGTATCATGGGAAGGCCTCACGTCTTGACTCGGAGGGCAATCGCAACGATCCCCCTTCGAAGACAATCCAACGCCGCATCGACAATACTGAGAAGCGCTCATCAGAGACAAACAACACAGCCAGTGCTGATCCCAAACTGTGGCTTGGATCATTAGACAGCGACAACTCTTTGCTTGGATCACCCGATAGTGGCAGCAGCGACTACTCTTTGTTTGGATCATCCGATAGTGACGAGGGTAAGTGCTGCCGCGACAGCGACAATCACGATCAGGGATCTTCAGGGCTCCTGTGTTCAAAACGAGACGCCAGTTCTCCTATTCGCAAAGGTAAGGCCTATATGGTTTCTATTAAAAGAATGTGCGTAATATCAAATCAATTCGCTTCAAGGTTCCAGCTCCCCGGACGAGAGGATAACACCCGAAGATCCAATGGCATACGATTTAAGCATAAAACGCAACCGTCCAATGGACATGTGTACAACCATGAGCATCACCCCACCATCTTCGGAGAGCCTGGCTTCATCTGATCCCTTGTCCACGGAATCGACTCCGGTCTATCCGTCAAGCAGCAGCTTGGAGATGCCACGCCAGTCTTTTGTGGGTTGTAAGTGGCCTGCTAGAAAGTCTACGGGATCTCCACTATATCTCTCTTTCACAGGTCCTCCTCTGTCACGCCAACCATCGCCCCCACCAGGTACGTTTGTGCCCATAGGCATGAACGAAATTTCAGAGAAGGAGGGAAGAGCAGCTGACTTGAAGGATAAGTTAAAAATAAAGCGGGTCAGGGTCCTTGTGATGGTGGAGACCGAGGAGCACCATAAAGAGCAATCCAAGGATGAATCTAAGAACATCACAGAAAATCCTAAACCTAAGGACACTTGCCAAAGATGCAATACCCAGTCAATGCCCTCTGCAGAACACACTTCTGCGACCCCCTCATCGTCCTATATGACATTATACAGAGTACCTGGCCGCTCTTATCAGCTGACTGCAAGCGTCAGCCAGGAGGACTCTTCTTCACTAAAGGGAGACCGGCTAACGAGCAAGGAGGACATTAATACTCTGACGGGAGAACTGTTGAAGAACCAACTGATGACCCGTCACCTGATGCCGTTGAAGTCCCGAATACCGACGCCAGCGACGCCCGACAAGCCGGTGGGACCCATTCTTTACAACGCCGCTGGGTGTAAGAATAGACAGAGTTGTTCGGGCGATGAATTGGAACTTCAGTTCGAGCCAACAGATGGTCAGAGCGGTCGGCCAAGAAGGAGCGTCTTGGGTGATCTCTCGAAGCTTCCAGATACATGGACCGATGGAAGATTCACGCCAAAATCGATGTCGTCCCAATCGTTCGAGTCCATTGGAGGCATCGACGGTGCGATGAGCTGGAACTCAGGTGTTTCCGATATGCGAGCCGATGCGGATTCGGATAGATCAAGTATGTGGGAAGGGAAACGGCCAGCGAGGTTCAAGGGCCAGAAGATACCACGGGAAGGGGACTTTCGGAGCTATTTTGAGTTGGACGAGGTATCGATAAAGATCCTGTGGACCGTGGCCTACCACCAGCCGACACTGGTGGATTTGCATGATCGAATTCTGGGCTGCATGGAGAGATTCTATCACCATCGCTGCCCAGTTCGTGACGAGTTGATCTTCCAGTGGTACCTATTAGAAGGCTTTTACCCTATATTTTGGCTTCTGGAGGCACCTCTAGAAGAGGTGATACAGTCGTCCGATGAGCAGCTGGACATGATGATCCACGAGTTTACGTATAGTGACCGCATTTCGCAGAGTATCCCAGTGACTGAGGACATGGCCAAATATATGGTTTGCGCATACTTCCGCGTCCTCTACAACTACGCCATAAACAGGAAAATGGACATTCTCAGTCGCACTTTACTCCGTTGCCGCTTCGCCGTGAACGTGGTGGAGGTGTTCATGTTGGAGCAGCGTAAGCGTCCGCTCTCAGACTCGATCAACAGCTTTGAATTGTATAAATGGTCTTGGATACACGAGGGTCGCCTGAAAACGATCTTGGAGGAGCCCTTGCAAACCGGTAACGAGCGGGCCACTCAGGCCGAGACTCAGGGGCTGTGCATCCGCACCCCAAACAGCGACTCTTTCAGCGAGTTTTATGTTAACCATCAGCTTCCGCGACCCGATTTCCATGCCATCAACAACGTCAGTGTCGGTCTGCGCCGATATATTAGCAAGAGCTTTTCAGAGACTTTAATTCCCTGTAGCTTTCCGTGCCCCATTCAGGGCTGTGGACAAGATCTGAGCCCGAGTATCGTGATGTCACATTTCCTCACCAACCACTGCCGCCGCATGGAAGAGATCTGGATGGGCGACCGCATGATCTGCCTGTTCTCCCCGGTCTGCTATCCCCCCCGACTGAACTACTGCATTTGCATGTTGGCCATACTGGACGGAAAGCACAAAACTAAATCGCACCGCCCCCGGTACATCCGAAATTTGGGGTTGCCAACGCGTGAACTTTACTTTGGGGAGCACCTATTAGTCACTGTGATGTTCGCCAAGATCGACAAGAGTGCACTGGTACGTGAAACCAATGAAAGCGATGAATTCCATGAAAACGAGTTGGACACACCTCGCACTGCGTTTTCTTTGTCGGATGCTGTGGATTTCCATAATACCGAATATTTTCCGGAAATTATAGACAAAAAGGAAGTGAAGGTGGCACCGAAGCCCGATCTGGATGATAAAGAGAAGACTGATGTAACATCCGATTCAATTTACCCACGGGCTGGTCCAGTGCACTTTCCGGAAACGGAGCCACAACCTGTTGACGAAAATCAGCTCTACGTATTTTGGCTGATGAGCCATGACAAGCTTCCCCGGGATGTGAAAGTTCGCTTATATGTCTACGCGCATGAGCGCGGCGTGTGTGGCGATAATCGCAATTTGCTGAAGCCCATTCGTATGTCCAAGTTTATCGATGTACCCCATATGTTGGATAACCATAAAGACAGCTGCTTGATCATGGATCATCCCACCATGGCCGCGATTTCCAGCAACTTTAAAGACATTGTTTATGTGGACGCTCGCCCCGTGTATGGGGAGCGATATAGTGCTAATGAATCCAGCGATGAGATGTGGGTTGTGCAGCCATAGAAGTATAATATATAGGCTCTAAAACTCCCTCAACATAAATGATGCCTAGCCGAAGCGTCTAACTTCTGTATCCAGGCTCCCCTAAGGCACCCCAGATAGCACTTATTTCCTTTTTGCGTGTCCCTTTGAGGTCACTTACTAAATATATTTTTGTCATTCAGATGAATAAAAGATCAAATGTTGTCTTTTCTTAAATGAAATGGAATGTAAACTTCTCGAAATCTATGGAAAGCGAATTGTCTTGACGTTTTAGAAGGGTTCTGTAACTCTTTAGAAAGGAGCTCTGCAACAATTTATAAAATATCTTTATAATTTTGGGATGATTTTAGTACAAACCATGGCAGAAAGTTGTATGTCAAGAGAAGGATACGAATCGTTTTCTGATTCCGTCTCTTGCCATACAACTGGCTGCCATCGCAGATGAGCTTTGAACTTAAATATGGACAAAATACTATCTTTTTTGCAGATTTTCTACGCTGGAACCACCATTGACGTGACGACGTGGAGTTGGATTGCTACGGAAGCACGGCGGATAGGCCAGGACTGGGCGGGAAATCTGGGAGGGTTCCTGACAAGAAGCACGATTTCTGCTGGAGGGCCTGTGGTGCCTTGACTTTAATGATTGGACTTCGGGCTGCACAGCACGGCTACTGCCGATACCGGATAGGGCTTGCTTCGACAGATTAGGCATGCTGGAGGCGGGTGTTCTATTCTGGAGGCGTGGCATCGATGATGGCTCAGATGGTGGCGATGGTCGGCATTTCTTGCATTCCTCCTCCATGCAGGGCTGACGCATTTCGGTGTGGTATATGTGGGGGTCTTGCTGCTGCCACAACTGATGCTGTGGCCCTCTCATAGTGGGTTCATTTTCATCGTTTCCCCCTGTCGATCGCCTTTTCCTACGTTCCCGTTCCCGTTCCCGCTCTCGCTCCTTCTCATAATCTCGCTCGGCGTGGTGGCGCCTTCTGTCCAACTTGGCTTGGTTGAGGGCTCTATAGTGCACGGTTTGGTTGTCGATTAGCATTTGGGTGATGAACTTGAACTGGTTCAAGCTCGTCTCGTTCTGATCGTCGATTTCTGCGGGGCTACAGTGAACATTTTGGATATGATATTGCAGAGTCAAACACTTACTGGCATTGATATCACGAAACATTTTGTTCAGCAACTTCTCCTGAAGCTGCATCTCCGACGACAGTCGCTCCATCTTTGCTATGGACTCCTCAAAGCACTTGGACACCATTTTTTCCACGGCTCCCTGAACCGTCTCCAGGACATTGTCGTGAATGATGCTAAAGAAGTCCGCAAAGGATTCCTGTAGCTCCTGATTCGGATCGTGGGTCATTTCTGGGTGTCGATCGGGATCGCGATCGCGATCGCAATGGCGTTGTCCGGTCTTGTCGTCGCCTGCCGATATGCGTACAGGACTTTTTCTGCCCGCCATCGAATCTTTGCTCACACATACCACGGCAGGCAGTCGAAAGGCCACGTTTCGTGGTGGCGAAGTCGGCTTAAGAGCTGATGGGGGCTTATAGGCCATATTTTTGATGCTGCTCGACCGTGTCTGTTTTCGCTTGGAATGCTTGACGTTGCATCTTCCCAGATATTCCGGTCCAGACACGTCCGCGTAGCGCATTCCCAAGCGAGGTGTCAAATTCCTGGCAAAGCTTGGTGAACGCTCCGATGGCCGGCTACCGCGTTTGTAGCCATCTTTGGCCGTGTAGGATCGCTTCAGAATGTCGAAACCGTGCTGTTTGGTTGATTTGGTAAAGCAGTAATTTGGAAACATGACTTCTTGACGAAAATTTATATATATCTGTATGCGGTTGTCACTTTCATCGATTTTTCATCAAATTTTCATATTGGGTTTTATTATTATTTTTAAAATATGAAAGGTAACACCAAACAAAACAAATGAGTGATCAGCAAATGTAAGTTGGAGCTAGGTCTTAGGTCTCATTTTTTAAAGGTCCTTCATTGTAATGGAGCAGGAACATCAATATTGTATATATATCCATACATATTGGGGATAAAAGGTTTGGTATTCTGATTTCCAAGGTTGGTTTTTTATTTAAACTAGAGATGGCACTATCGGTACGTGAGCCTACTACAATGTGTTACGTATGGATCCTGTGAAACGAAGTCTTTAGAATTTGGAGATAGTATTTCTTCATTTCTGATAGTAGCTATTTCTTCTGTTTTTATTCTAGTTGTTAATTTCTATTAGGTATATGTATATTGACTAACTATAATCTGAAATTTTGTCAAAAATAAATCGATAATTAAAATAATGAAAGTCAATGCGTTCAAAACACTTTATGGTAAAATTGAATCAATCAACAACCCAAGTTATTCTCCACTTCTTGTTTGTAAGTTTACAAGTTAGAGGGTCACAAATAAGTATTAGAAAATAATAATTGCAAAATTGCTCGACAGTCAGCGGCAGTCCTCAGTGAGGTCCTTAATGGAATTTTCTCCGCTGGCCGCGTCCAATGAAGCGCATTCCCCAGCGCAAATGTTGCTATACAGATTTATCAATTTATTTTTCCTCATCAGGAGGCCTATAGTATGGAGGCCTCATCTACCGGACTGTATACATATTTCACTGCTATTAAAAATCAGGAAAAGGGGAGAACATGTTTAAAGAGGGCGAAATGAAAAGGACTTAACCAGTCATGAGGCAAATACAAACAGAATATCTCTACAAAGTTGCATATATACATAAATGTATCTACGTATTTGCTTGATTCTCTGTTCGAACTTTGCATAGCACTCGTATATTTTCTATTTATTGAGACAATAATACCTCTGGCTGTTTGTTGGGCCGCAGAAACCAATATGTTTTCATTGTCTGTTGGGTTTGTCGCTCAATTTGTTTGCTCTGTTGACTTTCTCTGGTGACGTCAGCCGAGGCCACAGACAAATTTCCCATCATCACAACAATTATAAATGAAGTGAGAGCAAAAATGAGCCGCAGGCCCCATCATCCTGGTCGTCCTTGTGCCCATTGTGCGCTGGGGCGCACCGAAGGAGATTTTCCAGCGCGTGCCAAAATGAATGAAAACGCAAGGCAGGGACACATTGTGACATTTGTGAGAATTTGTGGCCTTTATTCTGCTTTCTACACATAATTATGAAATAAATATTAGCTTAAACCAAATTGACTACAACTTTATGCGCTATTAACTCTTAGGGCCTACTTATGCCTAATAGAATTTGGTTTCAGATGCTTGCACATGTTCTGTATAAGTATAAATACTATATGTACAGGGGATGAGATGGAATTTTAATGGCCTTAACTGCTAGTTAGGCCTGAAAAGAAATGAAATCATGAGATTTTCCTGCCAGCACAAATAAATCATCAGTCTGTTTAATAGAATACAAATAGGAGAGTGTCTGAAATTAGCTAAGGGAGTACTTAATTTCACTCAAAATGATAAGTACTATTTCTGATATTTCGAAGTTCCTATTAGAAGTATGAGTAGTATGAGTTGAATGAAAATTCTAGAGAATACTAGTAGAACGATACAAAATATTCCTAAATAATAATATATTTTCAAGGCATTTCAGCTTAATCGTTTAGAGACACTCAGAAACTCGTTTATCCTTCCAAATTTCAGCTTCAGCTTAGCGTTAATTAAAAGTTACACAAACGCCAGTAAAGTAAGTACTAGATAATGAGTAGATACCTATTATTAGATCGAAAATGCATATAGTAAATACATAGAGTACTCGTAATATTAAATGTTTGAAATTCGTAGCGTAGACTTGGCATACTTATACGTACAGTTTAGATTTGGCTTTCACTATGCCTAGTACAACTATCGAACTTATTGTCTAAGCCTCTCGTGCAGTCGCAGTCGCAGTCGCAGTCCTTTACCATTCTAGAGGAACTCCGCATCGCTGAAGGATGTGGGCCCGTGGACCGCAAACGTTGAACGCTTGCGGGTCGTGTGCGCCAGCTATCATACCTCCGACATGGCCGGCACGGTCACCACCTTGCTGGGTCGCTCGCAGATTACCACCCGGGCATTCGTCTTGTTGGTGGAGCGGCGCGACACCGTCAGAGAGGTGGTCAGCGTCCTCATCGAGTCGCAGCTGTTGTGCAGTCGGCGCCCCACCGTGTGGCAACGGTTCTGCTGCGAGTTGTTACGATATGACTTGCAACAGCAGGTGAACCATTTAAAGGGTGGAAACCGACTGCGAGAGGAGAACGTAAGAGGAAAAGGCAATAAATAAAAGATAAAGCGGAGGAAAACGAATAAAGCCATATTTCTAAATATTTATATAGCATTCTAGGTCCAAGATTATCCGCACTATCACACCGCACATGCCTTTCATAGTTCTAAGTCCGTTTAAAATATATCCTAGTTAAAAGCTGTACATATATAGTATAATAGACCTTACCTCAGTGTGCGAAAGACCTGCGAGGAGAACAGACAGTAGATCAGGGGATTGGCCGCCGAGTTTAAGGGAGCCAGGCTCTGGATGAAGGTGGCGATGGCGATGTTTGTCTGCGAGTGTGGTATCTGGCCAAAGACCTGCAGCAAATCGAAGATGATGTACGGCGACCAGCAGATGATAAACACAAACACAATGGTCAGGGTCATCTTCACTGTCTTGACCTTGGCCCGTGGAATGATGCCCCTGGAGCTGGCTCGTCTTGCAGGAGCCGAACCAAAACCAGCTCGCTCTGAAAGGAACATCCAATTAAATTCGAATTCCGCTAGGACTTAAAGTAGATGAATACCTGTGGGGACAAATATAGAGCCCTTGGCCCAAATTGTCTTGACTATAATCGCATAGCATGCGGAGATGATCAGAGCGGGAAAAGCGAAAAGTGTGGCGGAGACGAGGCTCATGTACACCTGCCAGGCCATGGGAGAGCCCAGCTCTATCCAGCACTGCGGATGACCCTGGATGAGCTTCTCCTCGTACAGCACAAGGATGGGCAGCGAGAAGACGGCTGAGATGAGCCAGGCGCCAGTCACCAAATGACGAGCTCGCTTCCCTAAGGTGAATAACGAAATAAAATATACTCTTACATATGTATCTCCAGTTATATTTCTCTGAAAACATTTCGCTTTGGACAAAATCGTTTGGCAATTAGAAAAGTTTTCGCACAAAGACTTACACGACTTTGAGAAGTTCATGGGATGCGTTATTGCATCGTATCTGTCAATGCTCATGGCCACCAGCACGTAGGTGGAGGAGTAAGTGACGCACACCTGCGAGAACCGTATAACCTTGCAGGCCAGATTGCCCGCCCGCCACGAAATCGTGATGCGCCATATAATGTCCGTCAGCACATTGAGCAGACCCACGCACAGATCTAAATGAAAGTCAGGTGAATGTGGAAGCTAGGGGGAAATTGCTAGGGCAACCACCTCGTCCCTTCTCACCTGCGAGGGCCAATTGCTTGATGAAGTAATTCATCCGCGACTTGCGATTCTTGTTGATAAACATCACGAAGAGCACCGCGGAATTTCCCAGCACGATGACGGTGAAGAGTATCCACAGCACCGCAAATTGTTCCGTCTGGAAAGAAGCAGATTTCGGTCACATTTCATTAAACACTTATGAAATTCATTGTCAACAAAGCGTTAAGAACGGAAATCACGCATAAAACTCAATTTAATACCCGCCCATACACACGCGCACACATTTCGTTGTTTATGGCTCTTTAAATAGCCATAAAAATGATAGAGCCAGAGCCCGAGCCCGACCTGGTCGGGCACGGAGTGGGCCCTGTCGGGCAGGATGTGCCAGCGGAAGTTTGCTGTTTCCAGCTCAGTACTAACAAGACTAGGACAACAGCAGTGCCAGCCCACACACACACACACACAGTTGCTCTTTCGCATACACCCACACAGCCACACACCCACACACCCACAGAAATAGTAATGATGAAAAGGCAGACAGCAAACGTTTTGTGCTATTTTCTTTTTCTGGCTGAGGAAATTGCTGCCAAAATGAAGTGCCGAGAACTGTCAGTGGGAAATCAGTACAAATATAGCTACACTCTAAGCGTTTCTAGGAAATCCAAAAATATACGCATAAAAAGTAATATCATATTTCCATTTCACAAGTGCTGATTAAATTGAAAATTGTATTACTTCATTATTATTTGGTATATAATATGTGAATGCCAAATGATAGTAGAGTAGATTATCATGTTACATAGGAATAATATATAAGGTCCTGAAGGTTGAATGAAACCATTCGATATACATTATTGTGCGTAAAAAACATTTCCGAAAAGATGAATGTTTTCCTCAAAATTAAATATACTTGGAAGGCGTTTACATCTCTCAAGACTCACATATATCGAAGGTAAGTTTGAATTATGGCCTCGAGGTCTGAGCAGTCAGACGCCAAGCAAACTTGTCCCGAAAAAAACTTGACAGGCGACGTCCTTGGTTCGCCCAGACAGAGAAGACGCCCGAGCTTATGCTACATATTTTTCTGTGGCTCATACACGTTACTTATGTTTGCAGTATTCACTTTGCTTTCTTTTCTCGGGCCTAAGTGAGAAAGAAAGAGATGTTTTTTTTTGCCGGCGACTTCTTGGCGCTGTAGGCCTTGGACCACTCTGTTGTCTGCTAGTCCATCATGTTGCGCAAATTGGAGCATAAATCAACAAATGAACAAACCACGACCAGAGCCCAGCTATTTCTACTCATTCTTTCCACATCCTGTCTGCTCCGTTTTTCATTATTCGCCGGTGTCGCGTTTATTATTAAATGTGGGTGCTGTTGTTGAAAGCAAATTTCCACACTTTTTCTTACAGATTCGAGTCGAGCTTTGATTTTGTTCCTCCTCGAAATGAGTTGGCAGTTTTCTTAAAGCCTTTTTCGGCTTTCTGTCTTCAAGTGTTTGTTTTCTCGCCAAGTTGAGTGCAATTTTCTACCATGACTTTTGAGAATATTCTTCTAGGATATGCTCGACTGAACCTAACTCAAAGCAGGCCAAACTTTTCACGCGTTTCAAAAGTTTTTCCCATTTGATGTTGGTTCAACTCCTATTTTTATTAGCGCCCATCTTTCGGGTGAAATTCGCACGTTTTGCGCTTCTTTTTTTGCGGAAAGTGTTGGCAAAATATTTGCGTTTACAGATTCACATATTTCCCACTGAATACGAGTAGGTTTTGGGGGAAGGAGTGTACGGGTGTTTTTTATACATCGTGAATTTCTCAGAACTGCTAAAAGTCGTGCTACTTTAAAAAAGTCCCTAAATGGTTTTACTTCTGTACGAGAACTGTTTGGTGTGGGATAAATGTATTATTTTAAATATGGACACACATAGAAAACGTTTTGCTGTGCTGTACACAATACCAAAAATGTATCCTTTTCCAAATATATTTTCTGGAGTTTAAAGTTCAATTACCACTTGAATAACCAGAGGGTCGGATTCAAGATAGATAGATATATATTTCTATCATACATAAAAATATATTGTAGGTTCCTTCCTCTTCAATATCTTTATTCATTCAGTATGCATTCACTTTCCACCGAATTCCATTTAGGTTCAATGTGAAATAAAAGCTTTCCATAATCAATTAAAGAAGAGTATTGCAAATAAATTGAATTACCAGAGAAAATTGATGGTAAATGTGGGAGATGTATCTGAAAGTTTATATATTTAACAAATCAAGCAAAAAAGGGAGGAAATATTGTTAATAAAACATACATACGTTTGCATACATATATTTGAGAGCAACTTTTTCGTGATTTCTTTTTAGTCTGTTTTAGATTTTTATTATGTGCCATGCTGTGGGCCATATAAAAATGTAATAAATGGCACATTGTAAGCCTTTTTTAATGATCGACCATTTCTGGTTGCCTTTTTTCTGCTGTTGTGTGTGTGTGTGTGTGTGTGTGTGTGTGTGTTTGTGTGAGTGGTTTTTGTGTGTGTGTGCGGTTGGCCCTTTTTTTTTGGCAAGTCATTATGCCTTTTTCAATTTGGCTTTCCACCTCGAGGAAATTGCTTTTTTCTGCGAGAACAACATTAAAAGTGCGAAATTTAATTTCGAGTCAAAAAGAGTTCAAGCAATAACCCGAAAGGCAAACGCTTAGCGAACAGATAGAAGGTAGAAAAACACGCACAGAAGGGGCCAGAGGGCAACCGTAAATCCTCATTAAAAAGGAATTCAACCACGGGGCCACGGGGCATGCAACAAAAGCAGCACCTGTTGCAGCATTAGGAACTTTAGCTGCCGCCGCAAACTATTATGTCTGATTATTAAGTGGGATAGCCACAACAATAGCAGCCACTTGGCACTCGACTGCCACGCGATTCCAAATGATGGTAGTGGTAGTCCTCCTGCCCATCTTGTTCTGCACTTTTGTGTGACTTTAAGTGCACTTTCCGCGGCTTTGGGGTTTCGCCTTTAAGCTCACTAAATCGCCTGTGCTGACAAATTTCAACCGCTGCCGGCGGATCGTAAAGTGCACCAACAAAGACAAATGGGTGGCCACAAACACAGGCAATGGGAAATTAATTTCATTTTGCAAGAAAAGGAGCTTTCCATTCTGTTCTTGTTGCAGCTGCAGACGTGGCAGCCACAGGCAGTTGCGCTTATAAATCAGTCCTCGTAGCCGAGCTCGCATTCGCGTTCGCGGCCATGCGACCGGCCGTTCACAACAGAGAAGAATCATTGCTAGGGCTCTCCTATGTGAGATGGGGACTGAGGGATACCCTGGCCATTAGTTGGGATAATTATCCTCTGTATATTAAAAGTATATCTCTGAAATTCTATCATATAAAAGCTGGGCTCCATGGCAAAACTGCGACCTTTCCGCAAAACTTCATTTTGTATTATTTTTCCCCAGCCCGAAGGGATGGGCTCAGAATGGGCTTCCTTTGTGCCGCGCATGAAGAGATATTCTGTTATCTGAAAAAATATACCTAGACTAAAAAAGTGTAGCAATTATTTACAAAGCTGGTATACAGCATTCGTTTGAATGGTCACCAGCTTTGGAAAAAAAGCGCTAGTGCCCGCGCTTGCTCAGGGCATTGAAATGCATTGTCTCATCGCCGTGTTGTCCCGTGGCGTATGAGCTGGCCTGAGCCTTTTAGAAGTCCAGGCTGTTTGCTGAAACATAACTAGAATTGTCTTTGAACAAAGTCTGGCGGCGCTCAATTATTCCATCGAACCCTGTTTGTTCCTTTTATAGGGTACTAAAACGTCTGGCATGCTCAGCCATAAGCTTAATCAACTTTTATTTTTGTTGGTCATATTTAAAAAGCATTGGACTTAAGGACGAAGGGCACATGGCACTCGGCTGCCATTGTGCGTTGCCAGCGAAGCTTCAGCTTGTATGTAGCTGCTACTGGGAGAGTCCGTGTTGAATGTGTTTTGTTTGCTTGTTGGTTTGCTTTCGTTTCTTTGGCACTTTTCAGGGCATTCATTAATAGCGATTACATTGTGCTTGAGTGCTCTGGCGCTCGGCGCTCGGCGCTCGGCGCTCGCACTCTCCGCAGAAGTTGCATAAAGTAACATTAAATTTCATATTACGTATACGCCGCGTGCTGAGCCAGCAAATGGTCAGATAATGAGCATTAGCTGAAACTTTAACCGAAAGTTCAACGAACTCCTCTCAGCTCCAGCTCAGCATATTGTCCCCACTACGAGGGGAGAAGCATCATCTATAGATATGTATAGTCGTACATTCTTACGTATATGTAGCAGATAGGGATACTAGTGCTTATGGTCGACAGGAGATGAGAGCGTATTATTTTGGTATAAAAACATGCATTTGGGTCAAGCCGAGCACATCAATCATGGTTTTTATAGTTGTTCGTGTTGCTGTTATTTTGGGCAACAATGGCCCGATCCGACCGTTTATGAACTGGTTCGCCCACCAAAGCCACTGAAGTCAGCCCGAACACGGGACTGGGGCTGGTGCTGGGGGCAGGCTGCCAGATGAATGATGCTGCCACATGAGGGAGCTTGGGAAAAACTGCGCTTTAATTCGCCTAATGGCCAAACATTTTGTCATCAGCTGGCTTAAATCATGCCACTTCCACGAGACTCTGGGACCCTGCGCATATTTGGCGTTGATGTTGACACAAATTGAAATTAATAAAAGCTCGACATTAGGGCCATCAGGAGCAAGTGGGAATACTGCTTGTACATACTGTTGACAAACTGTTGAGTGGAATTTCGGGCCACTCGGGCCAATGGGTGGGTGATTGGGTGGCACTGTGTGTCGGCGTGGAAATATGAAAAATTGCCAAGGATTTGGCCAACATAATTGTGGTCAGCTGTGATGTCAGTTATGAAAATGTGGCCAGTGGCAAAGTAGCAAAACGCAAATCAAGACTGACTGCTGACATAATGGTTATTTAACTGGTCACCGAGCGGGGCGCTCGGGGAGCTCAGGGCGCTCAGGGCTCCCTCACAACTTTAAAGCAGCTTAAGCACTTGGGGCTAATGAAGGATTAGTAGCATGGGTCTCCGTTCTGACAGCTGACCTACTAAACACATCGATAAATTTTCCGGCAAACACTAAAAATGTGTAAGGAAGCCCCCAGCG